ATACATCTTCATGTTCCCCGGATGCATAGCAAATTTACTACTGTGAGCTTCGGTCATTTTTCTGGAAAACACTTGTAAACTCATAGTATAAGATGTTTCAAAGATCAATTTGTAAAATCAAGCCCAAAGGTGAGTCAATTAAACACAATTTCAAATAAAACTTCAAGAACAAAACTTAAATGTAACATGCATGAATTCTCATGACTTCTAATGTTCCAAAACATGATCCAAAGCAAGATTAAGCTCAAGAATAGGATGAATTCATGGACTATAACAAAAATATGGACATGCATGTGAGCATTCTATGAGAACAACCTCACAATTCAAGAATGTAGACATGCATGTATGGTTTAAGCCTTAATTCAACATTTTCAACCAATTCTTGACTTTAAACTCTAATCTTCCATGAACCATGCAAGAATTAATCTTAAATTCACAATGGAGAAGGTGAAATCTCTACCTTAGGTCTTGAATTCTAAGTGTAGAAGCTCAAATCTTCCAAGTTTCCTTCAAATCTCCAAAGATCAAGCAAAATTCTTGTTGAATAAATTTTCTCCTACTCTTCTCTCACTCTCACGGTTTGGTCTAAGATATGGATGAAGAAATGATGCCTCAAGGGTGTGAATTAAGTCCCACACAAGTTTGTAAAGGTGGCCCACTAGGCGGCAAACATGTAAATACTCAACTAATGTGATTTAGCATTATACAATCTAATTTAATCATACCAAATCAAATTTCAACTAAATTTACCATAAAATCACATTAATTCTAATTAACACAAAACACTAATTAGTTTCGGATTCGGCCGCCGAAAAGGCTTTCAATTCGCAGTTCAAAGTCAAAACATGAACATATCATTTTATGGCAAACAGATAAAAACACAAAGATAATGCAATACATATGCAATTTAATTCCAGATTCCTTCTAAATTATTGTTAGGCATAAATAATCATGGTTTAGCATTAATCGGAGGTCGGGGTTATTACATGCACCATGCCTATTGGATGCTCCATCCACGAAGAGTTTCTACATCTCTCCAACGAATAGCTTCCAGCAAATAGAGGGATCGGATGATGTCTTGGGATCATGGGTGTTGCTGGTGTTTTCTTCCAAGTGGATGTTTGTTGTTAGGGTTTGAACTGTACTGTCTGACTGTCTAAACTCATTATTTTTTGATGAGTCCCCATTGGGAATAGCATGGTTTGTTCCTTCCTTCCTGTCCTCAATCCTGTACGACTTGCAATGTAGCTGGGTATCCTGCATTAGGGGCCGCGTAGTTCCCGCGGCACTTTTCCCCCTCATTTTTGAGGTGTCGGTCAAATCCATCGGGCAGACGTGATGACTTCCTAGCGTGAACTCAGCCACAAAGTCTGCTAAAGCTTGGGCTTTTATTGTAGTTCTGGGTTAAAACTTGATATCGAACTGCCCCAACTCTACTGCCCATTTCAAGATTCGTCTAGAAAAATCCGCCTTCTCAAACAAGGCCTTTAATGGAAACGTTACGACAATCATGGTGTGGGCATGGAAATAGTGTGACAACTTTCTTGAGACCATCATCAAAGCTAATGCTAGCTTTTCCAATGGTAGGTACCTTGTTTCAGCGCCCAGCAAGGTTTTGCTAACATAAAAGATAGGCAGGTGTTGGATTCTTTCCGCTCTGACTAACACTGCGCTGACTGCATGCTGTGAAACCGCTAAGTACCCAAAGAGCTCTTCTCTTGGCACCGGGGTTACAAACAACAAAGGAGAGGTCATGCAGTCTTTTAAGCTTTCTAGGGCGCGGTCATATTCCTTATCCCACTCAAATTTGGCCTTCAATGCTTGGAAGAATGGTCGACATCTGTTTGACGACCAACTTATGAACCGGTTGAGTGCGGCTGTTAGGCCAGTGAGATGTTGTACCTCTTTGACTGTATTGGGCCTCTCAAGATCTTGGATTGCTTTTATCTGAGAAGGATCCTCTTTTATACCCCGGTTGGTCAGTAGAAAGCCTAGGAATTTGCCTGATCCTATACCGAATACGTACTTAGATGCGTTTAGACGTAACTTGTGGGACTTCAAAATCTGAAACATTTCATCTAGGTCCCGGAGATGGTCCTTCTCATCCTTGCTCTTGACCACCATGTCATCTATGTAAGCCTCTATTGTTCTGCCTAATAATGGTTCAAACATTTTGGTGACCATCCGTTGGAATGTAGCCCCTGCGTTCTTTAGGCCAAAGGGCATGACCTTGGAACAATACAATCCTCTAGGCGTTGTAAATGACGTGACCTCCTGGTCTGGTTCATACATAGCGATCTGATGGTAACCTCGATACGCATCAAGGAAGTTAAGTCGATTATGCCCTGCCGTTAGGTCCACCAGTTGGTCTATTCGTGGTAGGGAAAAACTGTCTTTTGGGCATGCTTTGTTGACCATTTTGTAGTCCACACAAACGTGCCACTTGCCGTTCTTCTTTGGTACTACTACCGTGTTGGAGATCTACCTGGGGTAGTGTATTTCTCTGATGGCTCCTGCCTCCGGCAGGTTTCCTACTTCTTTGGCTATTATCTCTGCGTGGTGGAGTGTCAATCGGTGAGTTCACTGAATAATTGGCCTAACAGTTGGGTGGACATTAAGTTGATGGCAGATGAAATTTGGGTCAATGCCAGGCATGTCGTATGGTGTCTAGGCAAACACTTCAATGTTAGAGGTTAAGAATTCTATGACCTCTATTCTCTTAGTGCTGGATAAAGACGAGCTGAGCAAAAAGAACTTTTCTGGGTTCTTTTCATTTATCCTTACCTCAACCAGGTCTTCCACTGCCTTCGGTTCTGCTGTTTTGCCGACATCTGCAAACAGTTCGTTGCTTTCTAGCTCTTTCGTCATCTGAACAAACCCTTTTGTAGCACGACTGTCGTTTACTATGATGAAACACTGTTTCGACATGATTTGCCTAAGACTTTTTCAATCATGCCGATTTCGTTAGGGAACCGTAATGCCTGATGGTTGGTTGACGCCATCGACCGCATGGCGTGCAGCTATGCTCTTCCCAAGATTATGTTGTAAGTGGAAGGGACCTTCAATACCCAAAATTCCACCTGTTTTGTCATCGTTCCTGCCTTGACTGGCAGGATTATCTTGCCCACTGGCCATTCTGGCATTGAGTTGAAGCTGGCGAGGGGAGATGTCGCAGGTGCCAAGTCTTTGTCCTCCAATCTCAGTTATTTGAAGGTCTCGTAGTACATTATCTCGCATGAGCTTCTTTGGTCAATCAGAATCTGTTTAATGTCGAAATTCTTGACGCGCAAAGTGACCACCAGTGCGTCATTGTGAGGGCAATGTAGCCTTGCTAGATCCCTATCTGAAAAGGATATGATGTTCGTAGCCTCTGTTCTGCCCTTTTTGATGGTGAGTTGTGCACTTAATACCTCTCTCAAGTGCTCAGCCTTTTTGATCATCCCATTGAGCTCACATACCCGCTCAGGTTCGACGATCCCATGTATAACATTGATTATGCCTTGGGGTGGACCATCGACTAGCATCCCGTTTGGTCTGTTGAGGTCCTGGGGGGCTGGCTGCGTTTCTCCTTCTATATACTGGTCCAGGTGTCCAGTAGCCACTAATTCCTCCAGATGTTGCCTTAATGGTGTGCAATTTTCAGTGCGGTGCTCTTTCTTATCATAGAAGGTGCAACGGGACCTTTCATCATAGCCTCTTTGTGCTTCTCCTAACTTGGCTGGTCGCCGAACGAAGGGTTCATCACGTATCTTGCTAAGAATCCGGTAGATAGGTTTATTGAATACTGTAGTAATGGCAGTGCAGACTTTTAACTTCCTTGTTTCTGGGTCCTCTCTGTTGGCTCGCCTACCGCACCCATTCTTGCTTGGTTGTTCTACCATGTTGATTTTTGCTGTAGTCTTTTTGTCTGGCATCGTTGTTGTGCCAGATTTTGCTTTAGCACGGGCGCTATCTTCCTCTACCCGAATATGTTGATGCACTTTCTCCACTAGGGCCTCTATCGTGAGTGGTGACATCATTGTCATTGAGTCCCTCAATTTGTTACCGACTGGTAAACCCCGTTTGTATTGTGCGATGACGAGATTTGTAGGGCAATCCCTAATCTGGTTGAAAGTCTCCCAATATCGACTGTTGTAAGACCTTAATGTCTCATTTTCGCCCATGTCAATGGAGAGTAGTTGGTCAATCTCCACTGGTGTCTTGGTATTCATTTTGAATCTATTCACGAATGCTTCTTCCAACTGTGCCCATGAGGCTATGTTGCCTTCTGGTAGCCTTTCGAACCAGGTTAGACCTAGGTCGCCAAGGCTGGATGGAAATAGGATACACATTAGAGCCTCGTTTCGCCGGTATACTGCCATAACCTGGCGAAAGTGGCTTAAGTACATGTAGGGGTCTGACTTCTCCTCATAAGTAGTGAACTTGGGCTGGTGGAAGCCTGAGGGTAGCGGTGCGTTCTTAATTTTCGGAACGAACAGCAAGTTTTGTAACCTTGCTAATACTTTATCTGCTGGTTCGTAAGCAAGACGTGACATTGACATCCCTATCTCGACACTCCCGTGTGTTCTAGGGGCCAACCGTTGTAGGGATGAAACTCCGCGAGGGTCGCAAGCCTTGGTGTCCTCCTTCCATCAGGCCCTCTCCTTGAGCACTGTTGGCAGGTCCGCTAACCTAGGCACTTTCGTATGCCTAGATGTCATTTGGTGCATGTGCCAAGGCCGATAGCTGCTTCCCTCTGTATACAACCGTTCAGTCCTCGTTCTCTCAGACCTGGAGTAACGAGTCCTGGAAGTCCTTGATTGAGTGTCACCTGTTCTAAGACTCCTACTTTTTGCTTGTGATGGCGTGACGTGTCTGCCACGATCTTCCGAATGGTAAGAGTGCGTGTTGCCTTTGTGCCTCTCTTCCGTTGCCACCCATTTTCCCTTTATCTGCCGCTTCATTGTCTCCATGTCTGCCGCCATCCTCCTTATTAACTCGTCTTTCTCCTTATGCGATCCTCTAGAACTTGAGGATCCAACCTCCGCCTCTGTCTTTCAGGACTTTGAGAGCGACGGGGACTGGTGCCCCGTCTCTCCCGTGTGTCCCTCCGAGGAGTTCCATCGCTGGGGTTCTAATTCTGCCATGGATGGGATAGAAGGTAAACTTTGCGCCTTCCGTCCCCCTCCAGGGTTTGCCCATCGATAGCAGATTGCGGCAAATCTTCATTGTGCGCCATTGGTTTTAACTAGAGAGGAAAACTCGATCAAAAGGTTTTGTTCTTTGTGTCTTCCCATAGAAGGTGCCAATTGTACGTGCACGAAATAATTTTCTCATATAATCCTGCTGATCAAGTTTGCACTCCTCCAAACGTCGTCGCTTTGTTACCTGAAAACACAAACGTGAGCTAGTCGGCGAGTGTGTCCCAGAAACCTCTCCGATGCTTAAGTCAGCGAATAGACAATAGACATAAAAGCTCTGTGTATTCTAGGATGAGAATTGTGATACCTGTACATAGGTCCTTCTATGAGCTTTTATAGATTCTGCCTGGCGTAATCCTAATAGGATTCCAATTTTTCTTATAAGAATCCTCCTAGGAATCACACACTCTACTCACTACCAACCAAGTGAGATGGTTTGCACAATCCTAGTAAGGCTCTATTCTCCTTAGCAGAGTCCTCCTAAGAGTCAAAAAGATAATGCTTATCTTTTTACCCCTTCCTTACTGCTTAACCAAGTGAGATGGCCCAACCATGGCCTTGATAGTAACACAACTGAGATGGCACTGGCTTGCCTTAAACTAATTTTAATCATGCTCACCTAGCTCGGTGACACCTTGGGCATGCTCTAGCTCGGTTCTTTTTCCCCTATACCTCGGTCCAGAGCACCTTGACCAAGCTAATGGCAGCCCTCTCTGACCAAACCGAAAGGATCAAGAACCGAGCTATGCAAGGGATCACCTCGGCCCATAGCTCGGTCCATTTTCCAACCGGTCTTAGCTCGGCCCAAGTTTCACACAAATTACCCTCTCACACATTGAATAGAGGAAACATAAAGCAAACAAACCATGAAATTGCTACGTTTCATGAAAAAATGCATTGAGGACTTTGGTCCAATGGTTATCATCATCGCTAATAAGAAAGAGGATCTGATTCTATGTCACCAAAATAACACAATGTTTAGTAGGCATCAAATACACAACAAGCTAAATGGAAAATGCTCAATAATGGAAGAAACTGAGCAACAAAATTATGTTGAGAGAAATGTTTTACTTACATTTCCTATGGCAAGTAGTCCCTTGTCAAAAAATAAAATGATTCCCAAGAATAAGAACAGTATGCCAAATGCTGTCAATCCCAGCCCAGTCCCTGTTCATCATAGAGTTCCCAGTTCTTTCATTAATCAGAATGTTGAAATGCAACAATTCATAAAAATAGAGTTAATGTTATGAATGTGAAGAACCTAAATAAGTTAATTGCTTTATATAACAAAGTAAACATATAAAATAGTACCTTATCCATGAAAGGAACTCTTCCATAAGGAGCTGATCTCTCTAACATACTGAAAATAAAGGTAACCCACTTTGTCATTCATAACAGACTCGTCTCACAAACTGACTCGGTCTCATCCCTGAAAACGTTCCCCCGTGAATTGATTCAGTATAGCCACTAAAAATTAAGACTTAGAAGTGAACATACCAAAGAAAACTATGTTATGAATGCGTTTTTAAGTACCAATGTCAATAAACACCAAACAGTCAATAATGGGATTGGAACATTTCAAATGCCAAACTAGTTTAAGAACATAGAATTATAATTAATACTAAAAAACAAGAAAGAAATCATCAAAATGGGAAAATTTTGACTGACCCATATTAGGGTTCCAAGCAATTAAATTACAAAATTATATCAACCTTAAAACCAACTATAAAAGAATAAAAGTTCACAATTAATCGTTTAAGAAACTTTGTAATCACAACAAACAATCTTTGTTCCAAACTGTCAAATTACAAATAAAAACCAAAGGACCCAGTGCATGAGCTCTAGCTAATTACAAATGTTTCAAAGAACATATATAATTGTAGAGAATGAAATTGATACCTTAAACTGTTCGTCGACGAATTGCTTGTAAAGATTTGGATTGCAAAGAGGTAAGGCACATAAGCACCATAAGCACTCCATTCATCAAAAGAATTCCAAAGATTAGCCAATGTAAAATACTCAACTTTTTCCTCTCCCAAGGGTGCCAAAGCTTGTTAAGATTTCTGATCTCGATTTGTACAAAGATCATAAATCAATCAATCATCAAACATATGAAACAATCAGCATTACATCAGCATCAAAATAATTTTAAAGAAAAATATTAAAATGAGAAAACAAACCTTGGGTAGGAACTTAGATGGGAGTGGGCCAATTTGTTCTCCCTTCTCAAGCACTTTTTTGATAATTCCACCATCCATGCAAACATTTGCTTCCGTGATCCGTGAGATGAGATCCACTTTAAACTGAATAACATAATTGGAAGGGACACCGTTTTTGCCTATGGCTCTATAACCCAAACGAGGAGACAACATGAACACTGCAATATCCCCCTTCTTCATGGTGATGATTACATGGTCTAATCCAATAACCACTTGACCTAGCCAACCCATTAACAAGCCAATCAAGTTAAAGGAAATCTAAAAGTAACTCGATGAAAATAAAGAATCACAACAAAATACCCTTGCATCTACAAATACTAAGTTTTCAATATTTTTGAACTTTAAGGTAATGTCTTTAAAGCTACAAATCCATCAATTTTGTTAGTGGAGATAGAAGTCTTTAGCATCATTGGTATAGTTTTTGAGTATAAGCTCTCTCACTTTTATGAGTATTCACCCATTTTCAATGCAAGTTTTCAATTAGGGAAGCCCTATAATTTTGGGTCTACATATTCAGGCATATTGTCAAACAGGTAGTGTGCCTAATTTGTGTATGCACTAACAGACACCCATGAGAACAAAGGCATGCACATCAGATCTCAATTCATCCGTGAATAGCCGAAAAATGAGTAGAAAACCACTAAATTACATTCCAGATAATGGAGTTTGGTCTGTAGTATGTGAACCCAGAAACAACAAAGTTGAACCAAGATAGGAAGTGAAACAGAACAAAGAGTATATACATATATGGGTTTGTCTTCGGCTGAGAGAGAATCGTTTGATTGCAAATTTGATCCACGAAATAGAAGATAATTTTAGAAGGGAGGGATGGTGGGCTCGACCTGGTTCTGTTGTAGTACTTAATGGAAGACATGTATACCTACCTCACTCAAACGGCGCACGGCCAATAAGACACACAAACCAAAAAATTGGGAGGAAGGGTTGAAAAATGACACCTAAGTGAATTTTTTGGGTTGAACCACCGCTTCCGTTTGTAGCATATGGAGAATTATTGGAAAAGCAATTGAGTGATAGATGGTGGGTAATTTGCAGCCCACATGTCCAACCCACATCTAAAAGGAAAGATTATAACAAACCAAATAAGCAGTAGCGTTATACCAAACAAGCAGCATTATACCACTCTTATATTCTTTTTATATAGGTTGTAGATATCTAATTAAGAAAAGCAATCTTAAATATCAGTTTGTATATGATAAATTATTATTGAACAATACTAGAAACTTAAATGAATTATTAAATATTGAAGACAAATTTATTAGGAAACTCTCTTTGAAATATTTGTATTTCAATTAGTTCATAAGTTATTCTTGTATTTTAATAAGTCCTATTATTTTAGACATTTGAACTGCCAAATACTAATTTTCATATTTACGTTACGTTTGGTTGAAAGATTTGGGAAGATATTTGGAAAGAGAAAGGAAAAATGTATGTGAAATTAGGTAAAATTTAGTAATATTTTATTCACATTTAACATACTTTTTCCCCTTTCCTTTCCAAATCTCTTCTCAAATCCCCCAGCTAAACACATTGTTAAGGTATTTTATAGACAATTTTACCTTTAGAAATATTTTTTGAACCCTTAGCAACTTTGTGATATGAATATTCACAGTAAGGCTCCGTTTGTTTCGACCTAAAATATTTTACACAAAAATATTTTTGTTTTTATTTTTCGGCGTTTGGTTGACACTTAGAACAAAAATATTTTATTGCCTAAAAGACAAATTTTGATTCAATAAAGTGTTATTTATAATTTTTTAGTGAGTTAAGATATTTATTTAAAAATGTTAAATGTGTTAAAAAGATAGTGAATGAGAGTCAATTTCGTGAAATTAACTTACAAAATTTTTAAAGATAAGTTATTTTTGAGAAAATAATGTAAAAATATTTTCCTTAAAAAATATTTTACTTGCTTTTTGTTCAACTAAATAATGAATTGAATAAAATATTTTGACAAAAATATTTTACGTCAAAACAAACGAAACCTAAATAAATTTAACTGTATGAATGTTCATATCATGAAATATTCACATTGTCAATGTGAAAACTAATGTGCGTTTCACCTTATTATGGGTATTTTGATAATTATATTACTCATAAAACTTATTAAAATATAAGAAAATAAATTAGATTAAATGAAAATAAATAGGTGAAGAGAAATTTATAAATATATGTACTAATATTGAACTCATTATTTTAAATATTATTAATTTTTTTTAATAATTATATATAATTAAGAAAATTAATCATAAAAATCAGTTTGTATATGACAAATTATTATTGAGCGATACTAGGAACTTACTAATTAATATCGAATATTCAACGCAAGATCTTAAATATTACTGATAAACATGTTGCAATCATTAATTTCATCAAAATATTACAAGTCTCGAATTTGTTATCAAATAAATAATCAAACAATAATGATTCATTCCCTCAAAATTAGAGTTCCAGTGATGTTAAAAAAAAGAAAAGAAAAGGGAGAAGGCTGGAACATTATCAAATGAGACTTATACACACATTAAGCCTTCGTTTGACAAAAGAAGTATGGGCTATTTTAGTCACTACGGGACAAAAAATGTTAAACTAGCCAAATGGAGACAAAAGCATGTCAGGTACTTGGCAACAACCCATGCTTTGATAAATTTACCAAACTATCCCCACATGAACTTGATTGTAAGGGGGCATCGCCTCACCACACACAAAGTAAAAGAAAAACCTTTTCCAAAAAAAAAAAAAAAATTAGAAACAGAAATTAACAGTTGCCACGTAATTTAAAAATAAATAAAACACATGCTTGAAGTATACAATATCTAATATCAAATTGGAGGCAAATTTATCACATAAATCTGCTTTATATATGCATATTTGTGTATCGATTGATTCGGTTTATAATTTTTTGGTCACGGTGGGATGTAGATATTGGCACCATTGCCAATTGGGTTCGCAGTGTTCTTGGTGCACTTAGCCACTATCCCCATAACCGGCACGGGTATCAACCCAGCAAGGAGTCTTGGTGCTGCCATCGTCTTCAACAAGGACCGCGCTTGGGATGACCACGTAAGTAAACCACTCATTTAGGGTCCACACATGTAAAAATAATAAAGCATTGAGAGACGTTGATTAATGTTTTGCTAATTTTTGTTTGGTTGTGATTGGCAGTGGATTTTCTAGGTGGGCCAATTCATCGGTGCAGCACTCGCAGCTTTGTACCACCAAGTCATGATCAGAGCCATCCCCTTCAAGTCTAAGTGATGATCATGTTTGGATCTACCATATGATGCTTTTATTTGTGGCCATTCATTCTCTGTTGTTTTTTTTTTTTGGGTGTGTATGTAATGAATTTCTTAGAAAATATATTATGTATTTATGTAATGGGGTTTGTGGGCATGTTTGGTATTTTGATAATATAATCCAAAAAAGAAGGAATGATGGTTGATGGGGCCTAATCAGAAGGTGGAGATGCGGGTATCTGAATCATTGCATTTTGTGTTGAGTGGAGTGGACTCTGTAATATCAATTCGGTCACAAGACAATAATAACTCACCGACCAAATCAAACCAAGGGGCAATTCATATTTTAAGCAAACCACAAGGGTGTATTTGTTAAGGTTAGCATTGATGCTTTATGCACTTTCCCTCTTTGTTGATGTAAGTTTTAGCATGTTTTGATTTCTTTATTAATAAAGTTTCATTTTACTGATAAAAAAAAAAAAAAAACTCTGATAATTTGGACAACTCAGATAATTCAGGTTTAAGTCGGATTGAGTTTAGGTAAATAATCTAGGATTACAATTCAAAAATTCAAGCCTTGATAGGTTTCAACACAACTTAAATTGAGTTAGATAACCTTCCAATCTGATCAAACTTGCCCAATTGCACCCCTACTAATTGGGAAAGGATTTCCTAGAGACAAGGTAGTAGGAATTTTTTGTTAGCTGCATATGTAGTTTACCCCATAAGAGTTATTAAATAGAGGAATGATATGTATCTCTTGTTTTTTTTTTATCACTCATTTATATCACTACCTACTAACAATCAACATGTGCTATGCACAGAAAGAATTTTTATTTTAAATACAGATGTTTTACCTACTGCCAATCAACCAGTTTTATTGGTACCTTAATTGAAGACAATCAACATAAAGATTACTAGTAAAATGTCATATAGGTAGTAATATAAAATGATAGGAAAAAAAAAGGAAAAAAAAAAAAAGGTGATATATGGGAGAAGCTCCTCTCAAGACTTTATCTTTTTCATATTTGTCAAGAATTCACTCTATGTACATGGATCTTTGATCCAAGTCGTTTATCTCATAAGTTTCAAAGAGAAAATTACATATGTAAAAGCTAGTTTAATCAGATATTGATAGACACTAACTAATCGTGTTTTGTTTATAAAAAAAATAATAAATATAATTTTAAATTGAAACGTTGATTTATAAAACAAAATAAGATAAATTATTATACTTATTAGTTTCTTAGTAAGCTGATATTTTACATGCATGTTCTATTCTTTAATACTTACGAAATGAACTGTTCATATTACCATTGTAAATCCTGTGAGGTGCACAAAATAAAGTACTGAAAGTTATGAAAAAAATAAAATCTTGAGAAAAACTTCTCTCATGATATGTAGGGAAGTAGTTCACCTCTAGATCTCTTCTCTTCTATTGAGAACAGAAAATGAGAGATGCATAGAAAAATTCCTCTCCCCATCCGTCATGTCTTCTACGTCTTTATTCCCCTCTTCTATACAAAAGAGCAACAATAAACCCAAATTGACTATTAAAAACATGTCTGTATTGATGCATAAAAACTAACTAAATCCAGAGCTTCAAGTTCAACTATATGCAAATAAAAAATAAAAACATCAAAGAAGTGAAGACAGTTAAGAAGAACAAATATCATATCAAATACCAAAATGATTATAGATTCAAAATATGTTTATAAATTAACCACGATCAATTTAGTATCATATATATATATATGCAATAGTTCTCAATTTTATTTTTTTTTTTCCAGATCTTAGGCTATAGAATTGTTGAAACCTTTGAGCTCGGGGAAGAAAGAATGACGCAAACGACTTAGAGAAGGGGGAGAGGGGTTTTTTTTCACTCTTCATCTGTCAATTTTGTGTTCTCCGTGTGAAGAATGGTTTTATAAAGTGGTCATATGTTTTTATAGACACCTAAAAAAAA